GTGTTGGTGCAGGGAGGGTCCTGAGGAGATGGCGGAGCTCTGTAGTGTATTCCTCAGCTGGACCTGAGGAAAGTGGCCTGTAGAATTTGGTATTGGAGAGTTGTCTGGCAGCCTCCTTCTGGTAGTTAGACCTGTTCATGATGACAACAGCACCTCCTTTATCAGCCTCTTTGATGATAATGTCAGGGTGGTTTCTGAGGCTGTGGATGGCATTGTGTTCTGCACAACTTAAGTTATGAGGCATGTGATGTTGTTTTTCCACAATTTCTGCCTGTGCACGTTGGCGGAAGTATTCTACGTATAGGTCCAGACTGTCATTTCGACCCTTAGGAGGAGTCCATGTGGAGTTGTTCTTCCTGTGTTGTTGCGTCTGATGAAGTGGGCATTCACCCACGAAAGCTTATGCTCCAATACTTCTGTTAGTCTTAAAGGTGCCAGAGGAACCTCTGTTGCTTTTTAAAGAAAGGTATATTATTCTAAATTCAATGAGGGTTTTGGGGCAGGGTAATCTACATAAAGTCATACAATTTTATTTTTAAATTTTATAATGCAAAAAGATTTTCAATAGAGAGGATTTTAATGTATACTTTCTAAAAATAATGTTGGACTGCAGTTTTGGGGTATTATATAAATTAAAAGAGAGAAGAAAATCTGAAACAGTGTCTTCTTCCAGTATAGGACCCTGTGAGGGTAGAGCCTTACAATAGCGTGGGGTTCCATTGAGGGACTGGACCCCTAATAAGGCCATGTTGTTGTATTAGATTGGCTTGAGTGAATCATTGCTCAATACAATTCAAACTCTTCTAAAATTGAACCAGTGCTGCATTAATTTGATGTCATTTATCCAGTTCTAGAGACAGATAAGGGCCCAGATCCTGGCTTCCCATTGACAGATGTACAAGGCCCAAAATGCTGTATTTCTGCATAGAATGGCCAAGCCAAGGGGGTAGATGGTCTGTTTAGGAGGGCTCTGCAGGCCCCCATATGAGGCAAGCTGTGGCAATGCTGCAGCTGCTATTGTTATGTAAGGCTGTGTGGGGTACTTGGTGGAGACTAAAGGTCTCTGTCTGGCAAGGTGGGGGCTCTGGACTGCAGGTGCAGATCAGACATTGACAGGTGCCAGTTTACAGCAGGCTTTGTTGGTTTATGTTACATAATGCTTGAAGAAAACAAATATAATTGTTAAATACAACTCTAGTTGCTGTAAAGCAAAGAACACCATGTAGTAATAGGAGTGGATGGATTTGAGAGCAGTAAGGAAGATTGGATAAGGCATTTGACAAGCCCCAAAATAACTGGTTAGTTGATGGAACAAATATTGGTTGAATATTATGAGATAATGTCAAAAGTGATCGAATATTTTAAAACACTAATTTATTAGAACAGTAATAAAACAGTAAGTCTTGATGGTCTCCAATAGGCTTAGTCTTAGAAAGGTACTTATGCCTCATTTAAAAAAAAAAGTTACTTAAAGTTATTTTAACTCAGAAAAATGCCAAACACAATAAAATGAAGTTCTAAAAAATGAAAGAATGGAAGTATGATGCAATCAATAAAGTAGGCCGCTGTGTGCATCAAGGCGTTCGTGCTGGAACATTTGACAGTTTTTGACTGTGGTCAAATAATAGGTGGTCAATTGACTGGCTTGCCAAGCCTTGTCATAGCTACAGAATTTGTAAGGATAGCTGTGTGAGGGGTTGGAACCCCCCTTTCAGGGTGCCACAAGACGTGCTGGGGTCCCACTGAGCCCACCTGTCCCAGCAGCCTGTGTTCCCTTAATCTGTGTTGATGTGACAGGTTCTCAAGCCCCTTTCCAGCATACACACAGGTAGGGACACACCCAGCTGTAGAATCACATAGAGCTTGCGATCAGTTCTCTGTGGGAGGTCTCAGCTAAGGGATTGCCCAGCACTCACGTGCTCACCTCCTTCGATATGTAAACCCAAAATAATATTATCTTGCGCTGTATAGAGAGATCTGCACCGCGCAAGCTCATAAAAATCACCCCCCCCTTCAATGTGGAGGGAGATATGCACAGCTTCTGACCCCCTTCCCCCCTTTCCCCCCCAGAGTTATGAGTTGCACAAACTGGGTTTTGGTATGAACAAGAAATACATTTATTAACTACAAAAGGAAAGTTTTAAGTGATAATAAGGGATAGGAAACAGAACAAAGCAGATTACCTTAGTAAATAAACAAAAACTGCAAACTGAGCTTAACACACTGGATACGTAGGATATAAATTACCAAATTGTCACCCTGAGTGATAAACAGGCTGACAGATTCTTAAGGCACAAGTTGCCTTGGCTTTTCCAGGTTTTCTTACATAGGTTAAAAATCCTTCTAGCCTGGGACCGTCACGTCCCACAGTTCAGTCTTTGTTCCTTAGGTGTGTTGTTGCAGGGAAAGTGAGGTCCCCTCATAATGTCATTTCCCCCCTTTTATATCTTCTTCCCACTTGCTGGAAAGCTCTTTTGCTGTGACCTGGGTCAAATAGTTCCCATTGTGTAGTGCTATCTCTGAGAGGTTTCTATTGTACACAGTTCCTGGGGTAATCCTTGTGCTTGTGTGCATTTCCTCAATAAGCCATTAACATTGTTTGGCCTTTTTACTCTTGTACCCAAGAGGCTGCCTGTGGATGTTTTCAACCTCAAGACATGTTTCAGCAACACTACATGTGTTATGTATTACTTCACATACAACAATAGCACATACAATCCAATGAGGTATTACTGTCTGGCAGATCAAGACTTTTAGAATGACACCTCACAAGGCATAATTTGTATAAGACATCCTAATTACATGACAGTGGTGAATGTTGGGGTGTCAGGGTGTCACAAGCTGACCTTTAAATAGATTTTTTAATATATTTCAACTCTCATCTGCAGACAGTATTGATTTTGCTAAGGTGCTAACACAATCTGAAATCTATTGTGTTATCTAGAAAGAAGGAAACATGTGCAGAAGTGAAATATTTCATAAGAATACAGAAGGCACAAGAAGGTACCCAGGAAAGTATTGGCCTCTTAAGAGACCTGCTGATGGGAGACATGGTGGTGGTGGACTGCAGCGATGGGAAAATATGTGAGCATCTGCTGAAAGATTGTGAGCTAACTTTAGAAAAAAACATATACATTTGCAAAGTGGTAAAGCAGGCAAAATTGCAAGTGCAGGCTTTAAGTAAGGAGACAAGAAACTGTACATAGAAGGCAGCAGAAAGAGAAAGATAGGCATGAGAGGAAAACACACAGGGAAGCTCAAAGAATGGCCTCAAAATCTTGCAACAAACAGCCTAGAGAATGACATGGGATGTGTGGAAGTGACTGTGCATCTAGCCATTGTCCAGCATTTGGGCAAAAGTGTAGAATTTGCTTCACTGTAAATGAGTGAAGGAATCCACTGAGAGCTCTGTGCACTTAAGAAAAGCAACACATCTGTGGGACTAGAGGAACATATCTGGGGAATTGCAGTCAGGCTTAGGAGGTTGTGGGTAATGTGACCATTTAAAAACAAAAAGATGTTATGAAACATTTTTCTGTAGGTATGTTTGGATTATATTGGTTTAAGGAGTAACTACTGTATTTCAAATATTTGAATTTTATTAAAGTAGGCATAAAAGAATGCACTGAGGAGGAATAAGAGAAGAGTTACTGTTTAAAAAAATAAAATGTAACTTTTGCTTTTCATAGGCCAGATGTTCAAACAGAAACTATGCAAGAAAATAGTGTGTAGGTGTTTCAGACAAATGGAATTGTTCCTGTATAGCTGTGTGTGTATATTCTGGCTTTGAGGCATCATGAAATATAGTAAGGTGTTTTGAGGCATGTGTGACTTCTGTAAATTAAATTTGAGTCTAACTTCAGGTTGCATTATCCAATGCAAATAAAAGCACTATAGCATTTTTTATTTTGTTTGCTTTGTTTTGCTTCAAAGTCTGATTGCCTCCCTGTGAGCATGGAAGGCCTTCAGAATGCATAACTGACCTTGGTGAGTGTATACTGCAGAGAGACCTGTATTGATGTTGCATGGCCGTCTGATGTAAAAAAGAGAGATGAGAACTTTAAAGAGAATTTTTTAAAATGCTCATTATTATGTTTTTCATGACTATAACTTGATGTATTTTATTTTTATCTCATTGTTCACTTCACTAGTTGTCAATGCCAATTTCTGTAGTATAATCGCTGGGGATCTGGCTGAGCCTGAGTCTTTCCACCTGTTGGGCTTGATGTAAGATTCACCTGTTTATGCAGCCATTTCCCAAATAATCTTGTCATGAGTTGCTGCCATTGCCTTCTCAGAATTCATCCAATGGGCTTCAACATCTATAAGTATGTACCTTTTACTGGAGGAGGGAAGGCCAGCTCTTTCTTTTTGGGGGAATCTCATGTTTGCTTGTTTTTTTTGCAGTGTGTTCAGACCCATTGATGACAGGTGCCTTAGAAATGCTTGTAATAGATTGAAATATCTTGTTTTCTTTCCTCTATTAGGACGTTTCTCCGAGTTCTTCCCCTACCAAGTGAAAACTGGAGTGCTTTGGTTGAGGAGTGGTGCTGCCACCCCAATCCCTTTGCCAACAGTGCTCTTCACCCTCAGAATAACGACTGTTTTCTTGGACACACTTACTTTCTGGTGAATTCAGGAAGTGAGTCACATGTGCCTGGAACTGAAATAGTCCATTCAGAGACTGAACATTCTGCTTCTGAGAGGGGCCCTACCTTGGTAAAGTATTTTGTTTTAATAAATCTCAAAGTGTGACTTTTTAATTTATTTTTTTTAAATTTTATTTTGGGGAGTGGACATTTCTGTGAAAGATCTTTATGAAATTCGGGGCTTGTAGAGTTGTTGACATCTGTTGTCTAGGAACCAGACTAAATTCTAGCATTTTCACAGCAATTGCTCCTAGTCTTAATATCACCTAGGTACACAAGAAATGATTCAGAAACCTCTTCTTTGAAACACACTTGGAATCATTGTAAAAATACTGTTCAGAGAACCTAGTACTTGCAAAGAAGACCGAGTAAAGCATATTGTCAGACAACGAAGAAGCAAAATCTTTGGATCACCCTTGATTAGACTGAAATGGAAACAGTGGTCTGTTGCTACAGGCTTTGTATAATCAGATGGGTAGTTAATTAAAACTGTACCTGTGATGTGATAGGAAGATGTCAATCAAAGAATAGCAAAATAAAACCCAAAAGCTAAGAATGGGTGGAATCGAAGGGTAACTACATTTTCTGAAACTTTGCTGGACACTAAGAAGTAAATATGAACAAAACAGCTTGGCTATACAAGAACTTGTCAAAATCAGAATGTGGTTTGGGTCCAGATATAATATCGCTTCTCGGCTCTCTATGAGCTAAGATCAAGTGAAAAATTCTCTAAGTTTTATTTATGTTCCCACAATGCAAGGGGGCGAGGGTTAGAGATGCAAAGATGGACCCATGTTTTGGGAATATCTTTGTCCCACCACTTTGTCGTGGTTCTGATGCAAAAGCTGCACTTGCCTGGCAAATACTGTCTTCAAGTAACTTACTGGGCTTGTTAGGCTAAGATTAAACAGGCTGAGCCGCTCAGAAAGTCGCAGTATGAATTCCATGCACTGCTGGTCTCAGTCTCTGCCTCTTCCCATGGTTGAATGAACACCTTCCATGCCCTCTTGTGGGTTTCTTGAGATGCTAGGTGATTCATTAGTTGAAATTTCTCTCTGAATAAAGAGTAAGCTCAGTCTGTTCAGCATGGCTCTATATTTAGAAAATATTGCTGAAATAGTTGTGATTCCAAGAGAGTTAGGGCAGTACAAGCCCCTTCTCCCACATCCTTTGGACTTTCAAATCTCCCACAAGCAACTGCTTTCACAGGGAATGCAAGGGTGACTCTGAGAGAGGGTAGCCAGGTGAGGGGTGCAGCTGAAGCACTTGCAGTTGTAGACATTGGGCAGCTGCACCCGAAACAAAATGGCTCATTTAGATGCACCGCTCTACTGGTATTTAGACCAGTTTAGTCCGACCAGCTCCGTTAGAAATGAGACAAGTCTTCAGTGAAGAGGCACCCGAAGATTTTTTTGAATATGATGAATCTCCATATTCACTTCCTAAAAATTGCCTTGATATCAAGATTTCTTACTTGGTTGTTTGAAAACCCTTGTATCACACTTGCACTGAAATTCTAATTTCTACACATTGATTTCTAGCATCAGTCAGTTACCAATCAAATGAGCACAACTTTAAGATCAAGCAGAAACTGGACTAATCAGGGAAAAATTCATATTGAAATACAAAATTCTTCCATAATCTAGAGAAAGTTATAGAAAGTTACAGACAACACAGATTGCTGTTGGCACAAATGTTCTCATTTTATAGTATATTCATGCAGTCTGCACTAGTATGAAAGTTCCTTTTTAATTGCATAACAGTTATTGGAGAGTGTTTGCCCGTGACCAAAACAGTAGTAGGAATATAGCAGAGATACTTAAACAATCCTCTGCAGCCTCCTGTGGGACCCAGACAATGTTCTGCCATGGAAAACATATTGCTCACTTTTTAGTCTAACAATGTAACACGGATTTTAAATGTCACATGGTCACACAGCATCCTAATAGTATCTCTTGGGGAAAATATTTTCCCTAAGACAATATCAAGGATCCTTAGAAATAGAAACACACACAAAAAATATTAGGAGAGGATCCGCCTCCATCTGCAGATTGCCAGCAGCTGCAAGTTGTCACATAGATATATTGATTTAATTAGTCTGGCTAAAAGTATCATCCTTTTTCTTCAAGCAGTGATACCACTGAGTTCTCAGTGTTTTCAGGTACCATACTGCACAATTCTCAGCCACTGCATGTAACTTTTAGCAGAAAAAGCACTCAAATAGTAGTTATCTGAGGAATACTGTGCTTATAGCTCCCCAACCTGCCTTCATTTATTGGGTGTTAAGAAACCCAGTCTCCTTACTTCCTGTCAGGAAGAAGAAAAGAAAGAAAGTTAGTTCTACTCTACAACTTTTGGGGGAGAGTAAGGGCCAGGAGTTGGGAAAGGAGACGAACTGTGCATCTGTCTTTATTGGCTCCAACTCCAGAACAATGAGATCCACATTTCTCACATAATGTATCCTGTTAAGGCTGTAAAAAGTCAGCAGAGGCTAGAGAATTACTACCCTTGTGTTCCCACTAGAATCTTGGTCGGTGTTTCCTGCCTCAGTTGAAGTTTGCAGTGTAGACTGTCTCCTCAGTTTCCTAATCATAGAAAATAGGAAGTAGCCGTCTTCCCTGAGGGCAGCGGTGATTCAGTCGCATTAGAAACAAGAGCATTCTTACTAGGGGCAGCCTCACCTTCACCTGGCAAGTAGAATTCTCAAATGTACAGCATTTGAGCTGAATCAGGTTCCCATCTCTGTCCAAATATTGTTTAGTCTATGGGAAGATACACAGAGCTGGGAGCCAGGAGAACATGAATTCAGATCTCATCTATACCACACACTGTTTATATTTCTGTGCAGTCCTACCTTTGGACTCAGGGCAATCCCATTTCACTAATAAATTAACTGAGGGATTGCATAAGGTTCCTTTTACCAGAGCTAGGAGTAGAACCCAGATCTCTAATATTCCCAAATTGATACATTTTTAAGACCAGAATGGACCACTATAATTATCTAGTCTGATCTCCTGCACAACACAAGCTAAAGAATTTCACCCAGTAATACTGGCATCAAACCCATAACTTGAGCTGTAGCATATTTTTTAGATAAATATCCATTCTTGATTTAAAGTCTTCATGTGACAGACACAGGGTGGATTTGCTATGTGAGTTGTTCCAATGGTTAATTACACTCACCCTTAAAAAATGTGTACTTTATTCCTAGCTTGAATTTATCTAGCTTCAGCTTTCAACCTTGGGATTTTGTTGTCTTTTTCTGCTAGTTAAAGAGCCACTGTCAGAAATCTCTTCCCCATGTAGGTACTTGAAGACCGTGATCAAGTCATCTCTTAATCAAAGTAGATGGAGCTTCATAAGATATGTTTTCCAGACCATGAATCATTCTTGTAGCTCTTTTTTTTTTTTTTGAAGCCTTTCCAATTTTTCAACCTTTTTGAAGTATGGACTCCAGAACTCAACACAGTATTCCAGTAACTGTCTCACTAATGCTGTATACAGAGGTAGTACCACTTCTCTACTCGTACTCAATATTTCTCTGCTTATACATGGAAGGATTATGTTCATGATCTTAGCTACTGCATAACCAACATGAGCTCCCAAGGTAATCTATCATTACCATTAAGTCCTTTTTTTGAAGTCACTGCATTCTAGAATACAGTCCCTAATCTTATACGTATTGCCTACATTCGTTGTTTCTAGATGTAATTATAATACAATCTAAGGTCATACCTTTACATCATACAATGAGGAAACATTCTTTAAAAAATGTTCTATTATGGGAAAAGATGATCTGTCATTTATGGTACAGTAGGCAGAAACACGCAAATTACATTTGGTCATTTGTCATACGTTTTGGTGGCTTGTATCACACATGAAGGTTTTAAAGTTGAGAGGTACGCTGGCTTTAGTGAAAGGGTGGCTTCATTACAGTTGGAAACGATGGAAAATGGTGACCATCTTTTATTGGTGACCATACAATAAATGGAAAAAACAGTGTCCCCCCCCCCCTAACTTGTTTTATTTATAATCATCATAGGTGTTATTTTTCTGTGTAGGTACAAGTTAGTCAGGCTTCAATATGATTTTTCAAGTTGAAAGTTTTCTTTTTCAAACTTTACTAAGCCTATACAAATGCCCATGTGAAACATATTTGCTTCACATATACCCCAAATGAACAGGTATAATGCTGATTGTGTAGATACTAGATGCAAAAATCTTGCTAATGAAATAGTATGAATGAAGGTAAGTGTTGAGCTCAGTTATATTGTATAAACAATATTCAATTTAAATATGAACTCTGGGTTTAATTTGTGTAGTGTCGTCAGTGTACTGTAAGATTTAAATCAAACACACAACTTCTAAGTAACTCAGAAAGTTTAGAAGGCTGCAGTGAATGAAATAGCCAAGACACATCTCTATGTACATAAACATTCTGAGGAGTGAAGTATAAAGTTCACTATGCACTCTGGAGAGTATGTTAAAATTATACATTCTTTTTCAGAAGAGTTGAATGACATTTAAATGACATTTCTCTTGTCCTACAGAAATCAAAGAAAAATGCTAGAGTAATTTGTAAGCGCTGCAAGGCAATGCTGGGAGAGACAGTATCATCAGGTATGGATTACACAAACAAAACCATACTTGGTTGGCTCGCTCACTAAACACTAGAGGTTAAAAGTTCTGGAGAAAAATAATTTATCAATAGGATGCTGAGTTGATTCCTGTGGGTTCTTCTCTTTCACTTCTGAAAGGGTGAGATTGTTTCCACTGTCAAAACTATGAGGTTATTGGCCCCAGTAATTTATTTTGATCCTTGTTTATGTAGTGCATCTGGCCATATTGTTCTCTGTATTTTAACACTTAGCAAAATGAATGTTCCTTTTTATATGTTTGAACCATGCCACTTGCTCTGTTATAAAGTGGATTTGTAGCATAGACCCGGAGTTGTGATATGAACAACTCTGAGCTGAAATAATGGTTAGAGATTTAAATATGAACACAAGCATTTAGATTTAGCTTTTAAAAGATATCTACCTAGAATATAATGGACACATTTGCAATTAATCGTGGAATGCATACTTTGTATACCTTAGTAAATTTTGTTTAGTGTATAGCTTAAGTCTGAACTACATAACTAATATAAGCTCAAGTATGCAGTTCATCTTTCGTAAATAGTTCCTCTAAACAAAATAAGGTAGAATAAACTTTTTATAGATCATGTGCAAATGTTAATTTCTTTGAACAAAAATGTACTTCCTAGCAACTATAACTAATACAGTAGAAAAGGCTATAAAGTCTCATAGCTCAAAAGTTGGCAAAAACTTTGTGAAGTTGATTCATTTGAAATTTGTTAGTCACCTTAATTAATCAATCTATAAGAAATTAACATTGAAGTACTGTGGTGTTTTATCTTAGTGTATTTAAAAATGTTCTGGACTAAATGTTCAAATTAATAGTCTCGTAGACAATATTTGTTAGTAATATTTGTACAGCGGAGTAATTTATATGCATGTTTGCAAAAACATATTGTAAAATAGGAGTACATAATATGTGTCCAGACTCTGTTAATACTGTTATGTATATCTATAGATCTGTAATATTATATATTTATTTGAGTTGCGATTATTGCCTGGGAGTGGTATGTATTATTTATTTATATTATATAAAGGATATAAAATGTGCAAGTTGCTGTGCAGAGCTATAGGAAGATAAGGTCCCCCCCGTCCCAAAGAGCTTAAAAATCTGTAAAGACAAAGACAGATAAAAGGGTGGGAGAAAAGGACTTGTCATATAAGCAGTGTGGTCAGGGTGAAGGCTGTTAGTTCCATTAAAAAAAATATATATATATATATATGAGTTACCTAGACATTTGTTAGTTCTGATTTTTGTTAAGTTAACTGCCACTATTTTTGTTACTTTGGTTTTTAATCCTTACCTATTATTTCTTTTTTTAATTTAAATTTTTTCCTATTTTCAGTATATTAATTAAACCTTTACAATGCTGCACTCTGAGGAGTGAGGGCATTACTGCCCACTGGTCACTTTCAGTGCAGGAGCACTAGTTTTAACTAGAAGTTTAAACTACTTCAATCTACACTCTCTATTATACCTTGTAAAATATAATTATCCTAAATGCATTGCAGCTTTAATTGCCCTCTGAGAAATCAAATTTCTCTCACCATTAGTAAAAATCCGGGGATAACTACCTTGGTAAATGTAAAATAAAATTTTCCTCTGTTTTCAGTTTTTGTGCCTGACATTTGCTTTAAAATTTTACTTTCTACATTGTTGGGCCAATCTCCTGGTGTCCTGAGGAGTGTTTGGCAGACTGGTTATTTATTATTTTCACTGAGCTTTTTGTTTCCTACAATGGGACTGACAAATATAAAAAGGAGAGAAATGTCAGTGCTGCATTAAATGTAGAATAAGTAGGTCTCAAATACAAAGCCTATCTATGCTTAATGTGCTACTGCATCAAACTAGTTCTGTGATGAGGCTCTATTTTAGGTCAGACTGTCATTGGCACCCATGACAACATGGATAACAACATTGGTACAAAACTATTTTAAGTCTCAGTTAATTGGATTGCAAATGCATTGTCCCAGTCAACAGTGAAGGAAAGACTAGAATGTGGTTTAACTAGGAATGGGTTTAACTGGGCCACAACTTTTATTAAGTAACACATCTGGGAACTATTTGGCAATAACTCATCCAGTGGAGATCATCCATCCTTTGTAATCCTGGTGAAGAGCTGCTTCAGCGCCCTCACTCCTCCATTCCACCTCCTAGAGGACTACCGTCAGCACTTCACCCTGTTAAACGAGTCCTAGCACAATCGGACCCCACTGCCCTCCCCTTGTACAAGAGGTAAAGGGTTGGAGAAGAGGTGGTTGTCTCCTCACTGTGCAAGACATTGGAAGCCCCAGCCCTGTTACCCGCCTTCTTTAGGAGATGCCTTCTAATCTGCTTCTAGCTCTGGTTTATCAGGGAACTAGACAGCCTACTGACTGAGTACCTGTACTGGACACCTGCCAAGTTGTGACAAAATGAATTTTACAACCTCACCTATCTTCTAGATCCTGGGACTCCTAAGAGGAGGGTGAAAAACCCCACACTGTCCAGGCAAGTCTGACAGTGAGAGAAAATTCCTGGTCTTGCTTTAATCCCAGGTCAGGGAAGGGGAAGCTTTTCTTCTTAAAGCAGAATGGTGCCCCAGAGCAAGGGCAAGGGTTTATAAGTGCTCCCCATGTGTTTGCAGGAGCCGATAGGCTTATGTTGAATCCTTCTGTCTAACCAATCAGCAACCATGCCCTTCTTAAGCCCAAAAGGAGGCTGAGTACTCACTGCTGGCTCAGAGAAAGCCTCCCCATGTCTGAGGCTGCAGTCAGGGGGAATGCAGGGAACAGAGCCATAAATAAGTGTTGTTTATTGTTCATAGTGGCAGGAGCCTAGTAGTGAACCAGGTCCCCACTGCGTTAGGTGCTGTACAAACACAGAACAAATGATGGTCCATACCCCAAAGGGCTTCAGACTGGGACAAGAGATGACAGATGCAGACATACAGAGGCTCTGACCCAGTGGACCTCATGTATTTCTGCTGCAGAAAAGGGCTAGCTATGATCTGAAGAGCTTGCACAGGAATTTCTAACCAAACTAGTGCATCATGGAGTTCTACTGCTCTGGCACTTGTGCTTCCATGCATGGGGAAATGATTGGGAGGGGCTCATCTAATATATATGCCAAAAATCCCAGACTTTGCCCTTTACCTTTTCTATGAAAAAATCACTTGGTGGCTAGAGAATAAAGTGACTCCCTTCGATCAACTCACGTAATTCTCAGCCCTGAAATCGTTTGAACAAACAGCACAACTATACAAATTCCAAAAATCTGATTTTAGAAATATGAATTTTTATCTCTCTTTACTACTGTCTCCACACCAGCTGCCTGAGCAGACATATAGCTACCAGAGTCTAACTTTAAAGATACACTGTAAAGGCTCAGATGGTCAGATCTACAGTGCTAATCACCAAACTCTAAACAGTGCTGAAAGATGCTGAAATAGACAAGTCGTGTACTACTTCTATATCTCTGTATTCGCCAACAAAATGAATTTATTCAGCCACAACTTCTGCTAAAAAGGATATGAGCAAATGATTCACCAGGCGCGCGCACACACTTTCTGGGACTGCCCGCATACCAAATAGTCTAGTCCTACTAGCATAAAAGCTTACATGGAACTTTTGAAACACACTTTGGTATAAGCAAAAGGTTCTAAGGGACTCTCCTCAAATCTTCATAACAAAGAATGATGCTAATTCAGATTATTAATAGCCACAAGGAAGTGTATTACTAGATTACTTCTCATGAAAGAGAATCCCAGAATTGTGATTTGTTGCGCCAGACAATAGAAGAAACAAAACTTCTGCTCAAATTCCAATGTCCTAAAACCAGGCTGAAGTCTTTATATTTTAGTTCCTAGTATTCAAGGACAAGTAAAGGCACTGAACTGGGATACTGATACTCATGCAGAATGACTCTGCCCCGAATATCCATGCATCTACCTGCAAGAAACCCCAGATTTGCAATATCTGCTCACAGCTGTATAGCAGTGCTACAGTTGTTTGTACTTGTTTTTGTACCTGGAACTAGCCATATTGTACTAGCTGCTTGTGCACAAAAGTGTATACGGATGAGTCGCATCATACGTGCATTTAACTTACGCGAATTCAACTATACATGCTCGGCAAAAAAAAGAAAAACCACAAGATACCTGTAAATAGTGCGGGCGATTCCACCCAGCATTCCACTCAATGAGCGTATGCCCCGGAGTGAGCGTGAGATGGGAGACATGAATCTGCTGTTCCCTCAGTCGGTCTCAGTTCCCGCGTGCCTCTCATAGTGTGAGCATCTCGCTGCGCTGAGTGTGATTCTAGTGTTTAAAGATATGTATTTTTCATACAACATGGCCCCTAAACGCAAGCCAACTACTTCATCTGGTGCTCAACCGAAGAAACAGCGATCTGTTCCAACGCTGGAGGAAAAACTGGCTGTGTTGGACTTATTGAGAGGTGGTATGACGGTCTCCAACGTGGTGCATAAATATGGCCGCAACGAATCTAGCATCCGTGCCATCAAGATTCAAAAGAGAAATTCGTCAAGCCGTGGCATCAAATGCTCCAATAACTGCTAAGGTGACGAGCCAGGTGCGTGATAAGACTTTAGTGACTACTAAAAAGACATTAAACTTATGGCTGGAAGACCTGAACCGTAAACATGTGCCTATCGATGGCAACATGTTGTCAGAAAAGGCTCTTAGCCTCTACGTGCTGTTCAAACCTCCTGCCGAAGAGGGACAGCCTTCTGATGAGAAGGAATTCAAAGCCAGCCAAGGTTGGCTTAACAGTTTTAGGAACCGCTTCAACCTGAAAAACGTGCAGACTACTGATGAAGCTGCATCTGCCAATGAAGAGGCAGCAAAAGCCTACCCCGAACAATTAAAGAAAATCATAGAAGAAATTGCATCTGAAGAAGTGAGGTTCTTACCCATGAAAGCTTATGCTCCCAATACTTCTGTTAGTCTTAAAGGTGCCACAGGACCCTCTGTTGCTTTTTATAGAAGAAAAGGGATATCTTCTGGAATAAGTTTTTAATGCTGACAAGACTGGGCTGCTCTGGAAAAAAATGCCCAACCACACTTACATTTTGAAATCAGAAGGACAAGCCCTTGGCGTCAAAGCAGCTAAAGACCGTGTCACTGTGTTGTTTTGTGGAAATGCAGCTGGACATTTAATAAAGCCGGGCTTGCTCTATTGGGACTGCAAATCCCCGTGCCCTAAAAGGGAAGAACAAAAATCTTCTGCCTGTGTTTTGGCAATCAAATAAAAAGGCTTGGCTGATGGCAGCATTATTTCTGGATTGGTTCCACAAGTGTTTCATTCCGGAGGTCAAGCGATACCTCAAAGAGAAAGGACTTGACTTTAAAGTGTTGCTGATCATAGACAATGCTCCTGGCCACCTTGCAGCACTCTGGTTTGAACATAATGACGTTGAAGTAGTCTTTCTCCCCCCCAATACCATCTCCATCCTCCAACCTCTCAACCAAGGCGTGATTCATTATTTCAAGGCCACGTACACGAGGCTTATGTTCTCACGGATACGTAGCGCTATGGATGCTGATCCCAATCTTAATGTGATGAGTGTTGGAAGTCCCTTCAACATTGCCGATTGCATCACTTATATTAAACAGGCAATGGATGCAATCAAGCCTGAAACAGTCAATGCATGTTGGCCAAACCTATGGAAAGAATATTTGAATGATTTTAAGGGTTTCCCGACCATTGACAAAGAAGTGAAATGCATTGTTCAGGTGGCCAGGCAAGTGGGTGGTGATGGGTTCGTCAACATCCTTGAGAAAGAAATTGAAGAATTAATTGAGAGCCATAGAGAAACATTGACTAACGAAGAGTTAGAGGAACTGATAAAATCGTCTACAGAAGACGAAGATGATGACGAACAGGAAGAGCCAGCAAGTTGGAATCTTCATAAACTTGCTGAAGTATTCCAAGCAGCGAAACACTTGAATGATTTAATTTCTGAATACGATCCCTCTATGGAACGAAGCCTCAAAATCATACGTAGTATTACGGACGATTTGAGACCGTATCAAGATATGTTTGAGTAGCTCAAGAGACAACAGCGACAATTGCTAATCACCATATTTTTCAAGGAAAAACAACCAGCAGCAAATAAGCCCACGCAATTAACTTCTTGAGCTGAACCAGAGGCAACCACTTTGTCTACGACTCGCTCTCCGTCACCCAAGCTTCCTGTCACCTCTGTCTCCTGGATCAACATCAAGCCCTGATGACCCCCTGTAATTACCTCCTGTAATTAAAAATACAGTACTGTAAAATTATATTTTGCATATGTACTCTTTATTGTATACTGTACATTACTTGCATCTGAAGAAGTGAGGTTCTTACCCACGAAAGCTTATGCTCCCAATACTTCTGTTAGTCTCAAAGGTGCCACAGGACCCTCTGTTGCTCTGTACATTACTGTATACATTATACATATTACTATACAGGGCTGTATACTCAAAACCATATACTGTACTTTATGGGCGATTTAAGGGATTTTCAAGGGTAATTTTGACTATATGCGATTTTCGCCTTACACTCTGATTTTAGAACCTAACCCCCGTGTAAGATGCGACTCCACTGTATGATGCAACTGTGGGGGGGAAAAAGGTTTTTCTTTTTCTTTTCTTTTTTCTATCTCCCCACTTAAAACACTATATTGTCTTTGTTTATGTTTATGGAAGTAGGTACTTAATAAATGCACTTATGTAGCAACCTATAAATAGCTTGTAAAATACAATGTGTTCATAAATAAAATATTTTTTCTTTTATACCTACAAAAATATTTTAAAAGAAAAAGATAACCTGGATGGAAGCAGCTATGTCTGCAAAGCTGAAGAAATTCCTCTTCTGACTTTTTTTTTAAATGTCTGCACTTGAAGTGTAGGTCCTGTACGTATCAATACAGAGAGGGCCAGTGTCCTGAGTTAACCTAACTTTGTTACAGAGAAGTATTGTTTCCACTCTTTGAAGAAAGAAGAAAATTAGTCCCCTTAGGGCTTGTCTATACTTACCGCGCTGGTTCGGCGGCAGGCAATCGAACTTCTGGGGTCGATTTATCGCGTCTAGTCTGGACCCGGTAAATCGAACCTCAGAAAGCGCCCCC